AGTTCCTGAACAAGGAGGTTTGAGCATGTTCCATAAGTTTGGGTGACTCAACCTCTTCTTGCTTTGGCTTTTGGGAGAAATGAACCAGGTTGAGGACCAAGACATGTTCCATAAGTTTGGGTGGTCTTGGTCCAACGCCTCGCACATGTTGGAACCAGAAGGTTATAACTTGGCTATACTTTATTATTATATTATCTATGAACAGGCTACTCAGACAGGGTTCCATAAGTTTGGGTGGTCTGACTATAGCTTATTACCAACTGCAGAGAGTATTAATTACGAATAAAACTTGTGGTACGAAGGGGCAGACTGAGTCTTGAGCTGAAGATGATCAACTCAGTTATATGCTACCTCAAAAGATTAAGTGCACATAATTATATAAATTTTGGATACTTAAACAGTTCAGGGCGACTAGGATGGCCTAGTCATATGCCCAAAGAAGAGAAAAGTTGTTGTGCCCTATGTTTGTGTATAGTTCATGGCTGGGCTAGACATGTTCCATAAGTTTAGGTGGTCTAGCCTTATGCCTTATGTAAGCAAGGTATAAGGGGATAAATCATTGAAAGACTATGAACTATTGTTTGCTAAATTGACTTGGGGATGGTGAGAGCACTTACCTTTGTTGGTTGGCCTGCATGGGACTGAGTGATGCTACTACTTAGTCTGGGTTTCAGTTGATAGGTAGTAGCTTTAATTGCTCGCCACGTGCTAGAGCCATAGGAGTTAGTTTCAATTACTGCATTTCTGAGCTGAGATTTCTTTGCTTAGATCAACTTCTGCATTTTCTGGATCTTTTTATTTATACTTGGTCTTATATAAATCTTGGTAAGTCACTTTCTCTACGGAAAGCGCTGCCGAAATTTCTACAAAATCAAGGAGTTAGTCAAAACTTTGTCTTCTTTTGGATCCGGTCTTGTTGGCTTTTTTGACTTAGTAAGGATCTGGGAAGCCTCCTTTTCTAAAGGAAGTGCTGCCCAAATTTTTACTAATTCAGGAAGTTAGACAAAATTGAGCCTTGGACGGTCAAAGTCATTTCAGATTATCAACTTAGCTTTGTATAAATCTTGGAATAGCATTTTCTCTACGGGAAACGCTGCCGAAATTTCTACAAATCTAAAGAGTTGGTGAAAATTCTGTCTTAGCAGAACTCAGACTTTATGTTTGAGTTCATATCTGACTTTGTATAAATTTGGGAAGTCTTCCTTTCTAAAGGAAGTGCTGCCCCAATTTTCCCTAAATCAGCGAGTTAGACAAATTTTGACTTTCTAAAATCCAAAAGTTTGATATTTGGGCCAGTGTAAGTTTTGCGATGGCACTTTTCCTACGGGAAGCGCTACCGAAGCTTTTCGAGTTTAGAGGCGTTAGATTATAATTCACAGGTGGCAATTCTGGGAGATCCACTCCGTGTAGAGAAGGTTATGCTAGAATCTACCTTTGCTTGGCGCATGCTTAGAGGTAGGGTCAGACCTGGTTAATTAGGATGATTTGGGTGAGGTCGTGATATGGAGATTATTCTCCATGAACTTATAGACTTAGCTTGGGGGTTGGCCTGTCTTGTGTTACATGTCTTCTTGAACGAGTCGATTCAGGATCTTGGGCTAGATTCAGCTTTGATCCCACGAGGATCACCTTCTGTCATCACTGATAACAAGTCGGTTGCCGATTCGTTGGTTTACGACTCAATTCCAACTTTCCCTCAATACTCAACCTAAAAAGGCTTTAGCCGTGGTGATTTTTATTGTTTTGCTAAGGTTTCACCCAGACTTTTATTGCATGCCCATTTAACAAAGGTACTGAGTATTAATTATGGTTGGTTGGCTGGAGGTTGGGGCTTGCATGGCTAAAGCGAGGGGTATGAGTATGGAGAGTGGTTGGGGTTGACCCCGTGTAGTGTGTGGACCTTGTTTGATTCTTTGATGTGATTGCAGGTATATTCTGTGGTTCAGATTTTTGGATTTGACTGCCTGCGATCACACACATACATTTGGTTGTGAGGAGCCCCACTGTGATTGTGAGAAGTGATCGTCACATACTTATTCCCCCTTGTATATATATGTGTGTGTGCCTATGTTGGAAGTTCACATGGCCCAAGGGGCTAGCGTATTAAGGGGTAAATAAGGGTTGAGGTAGGCAGAAAMCCCCCGCCTCTTGATTATACACTTTTTCTGAGTTCTTAGTTGGACGTTGGTCATGGGCTGGGATTCGAGGTCCTTGTCCAGAATATCCCAAGCCCTAGGCTCTGCATGAAAGGAATTTTCCCCCGCGCAGAGCCTATTCGTCCCACCTGCCGAGACACTCAAGCCAAAGGTCTGAGGTCTCGCGGCGGCCGCACGGCTACTCCTTCAGTCGTGCAATATCGTGAGGGAGTTGACCCTCACGATACTTCGAGTCTAACACTTGAGTGTCATAAGCAGTACTTGGATCCACAAGGGACCGCTTGATTATGGGCACTACGTAGTACGCCATCACTGCGACTGCTTGCTCACGTTTGCATCGCGAG